AGGAACTCTGTATGGCAGGCCACACACAGAGTCGAGAGAGAGAGAGTGCCTTGTAAATTGAGTATACAGTTTACACTGCTGAACTTGAGTTACAAGCCAATCGTGAGCCACTGACTTATTACAGTATCACATAATAGATGCCCTATCCATTATCAATGGATGTATTCATATCAATATGTCCTTCAAAGTGAGGTGAAACAAGCTGAAACTTTTAAAAGTGCATATATCTATAATTGCACTATAAATATACATTTTCTATGCAGAATACTGCTGTGTACACACATATAGACATGCTGGGTCAACTGAAAAAAACATTTACTGGTGCCACACTGTCATAACTGAAATACCACAACTAATGACTATTCTAAATGTAGCTGGACATTATGGTATTGCAGATACCATAGTATGGTAAACAATATGGTTAAGCAAGCTGGAACGTTATTTGTCTCTGCCATCTCCTACCAGCATGTTTATCTTTCAGTGTGCCAGAAGAATATGTATGTCTTATGACCAAGGAAATATTCATCTGCCAGGATGGGTATCAAGAAAAGAACAGGTTTCCTTTGTTCTCCCAAAAGCTCCCCCACTTTATAGCCAAAGAATCTAACCACTATCCACTTATTTTCCAAAATCAGTTTAGGTTGGCTTCAGTATTCATCCCAGTCCCCAAAACATATGGCAATAAACAGTATCCACTTTGAGAGACTAGTGACTATAGATGAAGTACTGTACTTCGTGGTCCTTCCTCTTACCCCAATGGTAACACACATTTGGATGGGCTATGAAAAACCTTTATGAACAATTTATTCCAAAATCACCAGTAAAAAGTAATTCATTTCAGAAGGTACAAAAACATGTAGCAAATTAATACAAAACAGGTCAGGCAGCCATCATAAGCAGCAGTCTTTCAGTGGGCCATGATTTTTTACAGAAACAATGTTTATGTCCTGGAGGGGTTGAGCACTAGAACACAGCTATATTAAAATGTTGTGACCCAGACTAATACTGATATTTAGTAGATGATTTAATGGTGTTTTACAAAAAGTCATTTTATAATTAGGGAGTCTTTTATACACAATGACTATGCTATCTTCTGTATTACGCATGGCAGTATGTCTAAGGGTATGTTTATACAGCAAAGAAAGGTTCGTTCTTAACTTGGGTTAACTAACCTGTGCTAACTAACTCAGGTTAAATCAGCAATGAAGGCAAGGTAACTCAACTTTTAACTCAGGCTAGCAGCATGAGGTCAACCCTTGGCACCCCTATAGGCTTTAATTCTTGAGCTGATAAAGTTAAAAGCCAAGTTGACCTGGGGCCTGTAAGTCCCTCTGTTCTTTTTCTTGATTAACATTATATTATATGGTTAGTCGTGGTGGAAGAAGCAGTAGATGTGATATATCTTGATTTTAGTAAGGCTTTTGACACAATCCACGATATTCTCATAAGCAAACTAGAAAAATGCAGTTTAGAGGACAACTGATTTAAAGACCGTACTCAAACAGTAGTTATTAATGGTTCGCTATCAAACTGGGAGGGTAATCTAGTCAGGTCCCGCAGGGTTCACTCTCAGCTCTGGCACTATTCAATATTTTCATGAATGATTCGGATAACAGAGTGGAGGATATGCTTATAAAATTTGCAGATGATGCAAATTCTGGGGTATATTAATTTTAAGTAAGACCATAGGAGGTAATTATCCCACTCTACTCGACACTGGTGAGGCCTCAGCTGGAGTACTGGGCACCACACTTTAGGAAAGATGTGGACAAATGAGAGACAGTCCAGATTAGACCAACAAAAATTATAAAAGGTTTAGAAAACCTCACCTATGAGGAAAGATTTAAAAAAACTTAGCATGTTTAGTTTTGAGAAAAGAAAACTGAGTGGGGACTGACAACAGTCTTCAAATATGTTAGCGAGACAAGGTGGGTGAGGTAATTTCTTTTATGAGACCAACTTCTGTTGGTGAGAGAGACAAGCTTTTGAGCCACTCAGAGCTCTTCTTCAGGTGAGGGAAAGGTACTCCAAACATCACCTCTAAACGTAAGGTGGAACAAATTGTTTAGCAATAAGTAATCAGCACATATTCTAAGGGATCATTCAAGGTAGAGTGTCCCATTAATACCTCTACAATCATAGGACATTTAATTACTTCAACACAATAAATCATCATCATGGCAAATCCCAATGGGGGTTCCTTGCAGATCAAGTGCTACATGGATCGATCTCTTGCTAGTTCAGTCTCGGTGCATCACTGGCAATCTTATTGCACCACCAAGGCATTTGATAACCTCATGCTCCCTGATGGAGCAGTGAAATTTCTTGGGAAACACACTTGGTAATTAATTCCATCTTAATAATTTATATCTGCTGCCTAAACCAAAACAGACTGATGGTGGTGGGTGCTGTGTTCTGCTACAAGTGTCCTCATTGCTGATCTTGTCTTGGCACTTAATATGGAGTAGCTGACAATGAGAATTGAAAATGACAGTCCACCGCTCTTCAGCCTTCCCTAGCACCCATGTTTCACGGACATATGTTAAAGTTGGTATAACCACGGTCCTGCAGATATGCAGCTTCACAGAAAGCTTGATATCACGACATCTCCACAGAGGCCACTGAAAACCTCCAAACACGGTGGTGGCTTCTGTTATACAAGCATCCACATCTTTCAAACACCGTCCAGCACTTAGCTTTGTCCTGATTGATAACCAAAGCAATGTGCGCTGCATCTTACCCAGCCAGATGAGCCATCAGCTGCAGCACTTCACCAAACTGTGCCAACAAGGCAATGTCACTGGCCTAGTCAAAGTCTCAAAGCAAAATGGTTCAGCTCAATGCCACCAACAGCTACTCTTTAATGCTTAGCCACCCAACACAATAAATACTACATGATATATTAATTGCTGTCATTATGTCCTTCCTTTGATACAAGGCCTTTATTTATCACTCATGACTGGCTAATGTGTTGTGCCTTTCTAAAATTAAACATAGGGAAAACAGGAATTAAACCGGATATGAGATACAGTACGAATATCCATGATGCTTTATGATCCTACTGAATTACCATTACCAGACATGCCAGAGACAGTTACATAGTGGAGACTTGGAAAAGTTTCCATTTGGCAGCATGACAATGGCATTTCAGCATTTCTGATCATATATACCCGAAACAAATGATACTAAAGAATAACTCCATATACAGCCATGCATTTACTAGTGTTGAATTAATCTTAAAATTAAATAGTATTTTTATATTAGGAGTATGGAAAAACATATTTGCCAGTGATGTGCTGCCAAAGTTATACCCAGGTAGCACTCCAAAAGTTCACAACATATGATATTTTCTCTCCACTGCTCCCCACCAATCCTAAATTGGTATCTTGAAGAGTGGAGTGATGTCAGATTGAGGAATGGGGCATCAGGCTCTTCAAACTCTGGGATGGAGCTGGGTGGGCAAGTTTATGCTGGTCAGACGGGTGCAGGTTGCCCACAGTTATCTTTTCATTCATGACCTCCAGGCTTGATTACTGCAACACATACCTAAAAATAAAGCCCCCTCTTTGCCACAAAGACTCCTGCTGCAAAAAAATGGAGCCCAGCTGATTTCTTCTTTCACCCCTAGCAATTGGCTTACACTGTTGTCTTCAAGCCTTTGATCAGAAAGGCTGGATCTGTTAATAGGGAACTCACATGCAGCTCATCAGTGATCACCATCAAACACCATCAAATTTTCTGAAGCACAGTTTTATATTCTGTTCACTCTAGACACAGCCCCAGAACAGCAACTCAAATTACTCCTGCCAGGAACACTTGTGATCAGGGATGCTGGAACAATTTGTATAGTGGGGGTACTGAAACCCGTTGAACCAAACTGTAAACCCTGCATATGGAGGAAACCACTTCAAGCCAGGGGGTGCAGCAGCACCCATGCTTGTGATCATAGCAAGGAAGGACGGATGTGTGTGGACCACTTGTGGAACAGCTTAACCTCAGCAGACCTGTGGAGAACTAACTCCATGGATTTGGTGGGAAGAGAGGAGCACAAAAGTTGCATCCGACTTCTCCCTTTCTCCCCTTCCCTCCACCTCCCGCCAAGTGTCAGTGCAGGTAACATAAAGGAGCCTGAACTTTATCCTATAAAGAATTTAAGTTCTGGGACCAGATCTTCAACTCTTATAAATTTGCATAGCTCCACTGACATCAGTAGAATTACACTGATTTACACCAGCAGATAATTTGGCCCTTTAAATTGAAATGTTTAGAGTAAATCTTATTGAATAGTAACATTTTAATGATGTGGCTCAAGCCCTCCTCGAATGCTGGTTTATAATGTCAGAAAGAGACAGGCAGGCCTCATAAATACTGATATATCAAATGATAGTACTTTGATAATTATTAATAATTAAATAATTTAGGTTATAACCTAAAAAGGAAACTTAAAAAAAAACAAGTTGGCAGAAAAACTGAAGTGAATTTAAGGGGCTGCCTGATATGACAGAGAGTGTCTTTCCTATCTAAAAAGTTTTATATGTGCTGCATCTTCACACATTATTGTTCAACATAAAAATTCATTCCAGAAAGAAAATGAGAAAATGCTATAAAAATTTAGAACACATTCCTGAATTTTTTCTCTCTCTCTCTCTATGTACATATGGGGGTGGGTGGTGCACGTGCATATTCTATGGCCAATGCTCCTCATCCTTTTGCTGACATGTAACAAATGCAATTTGTGCCTGTAGGAAAGCCCAATTAGGCTTAGTAAGATTATAAAATTCATCCATGTTTTAACATACTGAAACAACAGTTTATCTTTGCAATACAATACAAATTACAGTTTAACTTAACTACATTTTTAGTCTAGTATAGTTTGAATTATCTCGGTTTTTCCAGCTTTGGGTTACACTCAACTATGTTTTAAAAAAAATTCTACAGAGAGCTTCCAGGAGGGGAAAAAAAGATACAATTACGTTTATTTGAAGTATAAACTTACATACCTTGGCCTCCGAAATGCTAAACCATATTGTTGGCAAGCCAGACCCACAGTGGGAGTATAAACAATAGGCAAGAACCTTTCAATGTTAGATGTCAGCACTTTATAGAAAAGCTTTTCATTTCGATCCTGAAGACCCATTAACAGAATGTATCTGTGGAGAATTAAATATAATTAGGTATCCAAGTGAACATTTAAATAGTTAAAATAGTTAAAAAATAAAATAGATATGTAGAGAATTAATTAAAGCTCTGTTTGTTCCAGACAAAGTCTCTCTCTGGTCCAGGGTACTTAAATTTAACCATATCTTAGTAGCATAAGTGCTTCAGTTCTAAAGGATAACAAACTTGAGCCAGACAGTAGACAGAAGCTGAAACTGTTGCAAAGGTGACAGTCAGCATGCTCAGGAAGGGAGCTAATTCCTGTCAGACACAAAATGCTACATTTGCATTAAAATAGCAACATAGGTCCAATTTAAACCTTAATCCATACATGCCAAATGCTGCATTTTGAATGGAATAATCATAAATTTGCTGGGGGGGGGGGAGGTAATTAAATTTCATTTTTCTACTCTGGACCTCTAAGAAATTTCTCCCAATCCAAGGAGAATGTTAGTTTTTCCATAACTCTCTACTAATAGATTTCAATACTGTCACACATGCAAAACATCTAATACTGCAGTCCTCCTTGGCTCCTACTCAATCCCACAAAAGTACTTTTATCTCCTTATGAAATCAATGGTAGCTCTGCATTTGAGAGCTTTGCAGAATCAGTTTAAATTAGGATAGCAAAAGGAAAGAATGAGACTCCATATTTAACTCATCTTTCTTTGCTCACCTATTGTAACAAACACACACAATACATGAAATCATCACTGTTCTAGGATCCCAACAGAGAACCTTGTCTGAAGTGAAGCATAAAAGGGTGATTTAAAGATTGAGGATCAGATCCATAGCTGAAAGCTACACAAGTTTACATCATCTTACGATATGGCCCAGAGTTTTCAACCTTAACATTGCATTTTTGTGGGTTTAACATTGACCTCACTATATTCATTTAGTTTATGTAGAGTGAACATTTTATTAACTTTTTCTTAGAAAATAATAAAAACAAACTTAGTTTAAATTAAAAACCCAATCTTACTTCCAAATGTAAAAACATATATTTACCTATTTCACTATGAATAAGACATTATTTGTAGTCTTTATAATGCACATGTTGTGCAAATGTTTTTAGAGATTAGCTACAGCACACATTTAACTAAAAGAGAAAGAGGAGGGGAGAAAGGGTGTGTGTATACATTTAAAGATTTCCCTTCAAAGTTGTTGTGGCTCATGTAAATATATATTTATGGATATTTTGTTTACAGTGGTGGTTTTTCATTTTTTAATCTCTTAGTAATGCTTTGTATAAAACGTGTCTTCAACAAAACAGCAAAGATTTGAACTTGCTCTTACCTATCCCATTCACCTTAATGAAACACAATCCCTCATCCTTCCCAATTCACTTCAAAAAGGTAAATGTCAAAATCCACTTGAGACTACTTAAATGCTAACTTTAAGTGCTGAAAATGTCTTGAATTTCATTTAAAAAAATAATTAATCAAGGGGGGGAGCCATTTTAATGAAATATTAAAGTTGCATAGTTAAAACTAAGAGTCAGGAAACACAAAAACTTAAGCTTTCCGACATAAACCTTTTGTACATCCTGTATATTTTATTTCATATATTTAACAGAATAAACAAAAATATATTAAGATTCCTATTGAACAAGAATATAAAATAGTCCACATGTGTAACATAGCTGCATTAATGTTGGTAAACAAATCTTAATTTTGTATATCCTGACTTTTGTTGTTGTTGCTATTTTAAAGTATTCACCCTTAACCTAGCCAACGTAATAAATTCATGTGATGACAGGACTATGGAAGAAAAGCAATGCTGCTTCTTTTTTGAATTTTTTTAAATTTCATATTTGTAATGTCAAGGGCACCCAGGCCCTCAGATGGGCATTTCTTTATTTTGAAATTGAAATAATTAAATAAATACATGACCTCAATATGAATAGCAGAATAACAAAGTGCCATAAATCACTTTTTAAAATACAAATAAACGATTCTGTATCAAATATTTTAAAAAATAATTTTACACATTTATTCCTTTCTCCTACAAATATTTTCAAAAATACTTATGTGTATTATTAAGTGTCTATAACTACCATCTTTTAACAGCCACTGCTCTGTCTGTATTTAGCATATATCATTATACTCTTTTGAATGCCTAAAGAGCTTTCTTTATAAAGTAAACCACCATATTTTTAATTTATATGATTGTCCTACCATCTACTCCAAAATACTGATCCATTCATAATCATCAACTCTGACTGATATATCAGGCTTACTGAGGTGAATTTTTGGAGATATGTATTTCATTTCCACAGGATCTTGAAAAGTGACAGATGGAGAACATGTTATGAATAACCTGGCTTGGTCAATGCCAGAATGCTCAGGCATGCATGGAAGCCAGATGACTGAACCAGTCTCTGATTCTGAACACTTCCCCATTTTTCTTTTTATTACTATGGTACTTTCTTTGAAATCAGTTGCTGTTATTTAAAACCCCAAATGATCTTTTCATTCTCCAGTCTTATTATTCAGAGCAATCCTGTTTTCCAGATTCTGTAAAGTGATCTTTTGGAGAAGGAATTTAAAACTGCTGGAAGACTTTTGAATTGGGGTGCTTTAAACAAAGCAATTGTGTACTACTTGCAATATTTTATTAATATATAATTGTTCCATTTTGGTTTACACCTCAATTTAAATTACAATTTCTGACATTCAATTGGGAAAAAATGCTGTTTTACTTAGCAGTTTTTATAGCAAGGTGTCCTAAAGTGCTTACAAAGGTAATAGTAGAACAATACTTATAGTCAAACATTGCAGATAGTATGTGCTTAGCAACAGCTCAAACGAGCTTTAGATGTTATAACATGTTGTTATATTGAGAAATGCAATTTTGATCAGGGTGATGCCTGTATCTAATACAACAGGATTTGAAATATTGCATTAGATTGACTGAATGTTTCACTAAAATTATAATTTAAATAACATGGTGAAAAGCAGATACCCTAAAATGCTAACTTGCACTGAGTACACTTGATTGTACAACACACACCACCACCACCACCCTTCTCACACAAAGGTTTGTGGGGAGGTTTTTTGCTATCAACTAAAAGAGGACAAGTATTTACTACATGGCCCAGATAGAAAACTCAAGAAGAAATGGCTTGTACAGTGCTGTAGGTCTTGTAGCTAGATTACGTTATCAGATTTGTAGAGTGAAATCTTGGTCCTACTGAAGTCTATGGTAAAACTCTCATTGACATTGGAGCCAAGACTTTGTCTGTGGAATGCATCACTAAATCTCTTGAAAAATGTTACAGTGCATGACTTGTTGCTACAGGTGTTGTTGCAGAATTAGAGAGAGAATATCAAAGTTTCAGACAGAGCAAAATACACTCCATTTCCTAATAAGGGCCCAAGAAAACAAGGCAGTCTAATAGCATGCAATGGGTGGTATAAAATCTATATAAACACACGCATACAAATGTAGAGTGTATTTTTCAGGACACATGGTAATGCCCAGTATGTATCTGAAATTGACATTTAAATTAGCCTGTATGTATTTAACTATACTTATTAGGGGCCAAGTTAAGGAGTCCTGAATAAAGATCACAAGAAAAGGAGGTAGAAAGTGAGAATCAAAAATTGGGAAGAGTGAGGCTGCAGGGATTGTGAACTGCCTTTTCAGAGAAAATCATTGTGTTCTGCTCTAATGGAACCACAGTTACAGTTCCAATAAAGTACTTACTTCATTTTCAGAACCTACGGTTGTCACTTTTTTCCCCTGGCCATAAGACACCTAAGAACTCAAATACTACTTTGTGGTTATGAAGGGAATTTAGCTACAACCGTAATGAGCAGAGTACAAGAACCTATTTATTTTATACAGTTTTGAGACTGACTATATGGTTTACATTTTCACAAATTTCACATTTCACAGATATTAATAAATATAAATTACAAAATATTATTCAAGGTAAGATATTCAACAAAACCTCTTCATACAAAATGGCCTGATTGCACTTTTTCTCAAAACTGTTAATGTACTCCTATAACTAAAACATGTAACCAAGGTAACATAAGTCTTCAGAAAAAGAAAACCCAGATAAGAAACATAAGGGAATCAGGCATACAGAGGGACACAGACATTAACAGCCTGGCACTCACTTCACTTGTGAATATATGAAGGGCAATTAGAAATGTGATAAGAAAAAGAATAAAAGATCAAATTACTATCAAAAGACATAGAAATAAGTTTCAAAATTAAATTACAGAAGAAGAATTATATTTCATCATTAACTTCTTGCCTGATTTCAATGTACCAGATAAAACATACAGACATACTCTGTGCTGTATCACATATTCAGCATATGAAATGTTGGCCTTTCAAAGCACAGCACTTCAACATTCAAAGTCAGCTGCAAACAGCTTAAACCACAAAAAACAATATTTACATAATATTGCAGCCATAACAATTTGGGCTGTGAATTCATTACATCTTATATCATAGGCAGGTCAGGCCAGGCCAGGCCAGTAACACTGCTCTACAGCCAAAATGCTTCTGAAATAAATGTAGTCAAACTTTACTAATTCCGGGTCACTGAGAACGAAAATGATGCTTAAAATTGTTGATTGGCTCTAGTTTTCAAAGATATGCTATTGGGTCAGTATATACGACCCTTG